TGCCAATAGCTCATACTATGCACAGGAGTGACTTGTTTCCACTCAGTGATTGTTGCTTATGTTTAAAACAGTTTACAAATTGTAACACAACTGGCCCAAAACCATTACAGTTGCCCTTTAAAGTTAACCTGTAACTACAGAACGAAAAAGTCAGATAGTCATAAATATATATACTTATACACATTGTTATAAACATGTATAAAAATGTATACGCAGGTAGCAAGAGGTGCCTGCAGGTACGTTTTCTTATTTTGAAAAGTCACCCCCCCCCAATTCTGGAATGTTTAACATATAAATACCAACTGTCAACTCTGAAAAGAAGAGCTTTAGTATGGCCTGCTGCAAAATAATTCCCTACAGCATTTAGGGTTGAGGAAGACAGGGCTGTTGGGTGGTACAGTACTGGCTAATTTCAGAGCTGGAGCCAGCCATTGTACAATAAGCACATCAAGTTTGGGGGTGTTAGGGGAAGCTCTGTTGGAGAATGAAAGGTGTGTGCAGGTGCCTTTAAGTGTTTTTATAACTGTTTTTCTAGAATGACACATTATAACCATGTAGATACTCAAACACATTAAACACTACAAGTCACCACAAGAGGGAACAGGTGCAATGGCCTCTGCTGGGACCAGGTAAATGGGTCCATATATGGAGCTTGAGGAGGAAAATGAAATTCAAATATCATTCACAATGTATCAGGACCAAAGATAGTTCTATTTTTTTTTTTTGGTGTGTGTGTGTCATACCAGATACTATACCAGATAATACCAGGCTGGAAAAACTGTCAGTAAATTACTAATCCAAAAATGGCAGCCTATATTATGTTGTTGAATAAGTATGGGTACTTTTCTAAACAGCATGGGCAGCCAGGGACTAGATATTAGCTGATCAACAGACACATTTTATCGGACTGTTTAAAAGGATAATTTGTACATTATGTTCATTATACAGAACTCTAAACTATCAGCCCATCAAAATTGAAAGGCTCAATTGACCTGTAAACCCTGAACACGCGTAATACCAGTTCTCTTCTGTAAAGCTCTACCCCCTTCCTATGGAGCTCAAGAAGGAACCTCAGGGCTTTCCCCAATGTGGTGAAGGAGTGGTTCAGATTGGGGATGCTGCTTTAACCCTCTTAGGTGTAGTGAGGGGGCGCAGTTCCCACAAGCATCATTTACCACGGGAAACAATGGGAGGAGCTACCAGTGTATTACCGCATATACTGGTGATTAAATACAGTACCCACAACCAAGGGTTAACGTATAACTCCCCACACTTTATCACATGAACCCCTGCGCAATTGCCTGGAGGAAGCTCCAACTATACACAGTGAGAGTCCAGAGTACAAGCAGTTCTATAGGAGGGTGTAATCTGTAGTTGAACCAGCAGATGGCGCTAGTATAAGGCTGTACAATGATTACAGGCTGTTTAAGCTGAAATACTTGCAGTTGAGACGAGCAGTGCAGTCCTTGCCAGACGGGTGAGAGGTAAGCTGTGCTGACGGGCTGGGTACTCACTCCTGTGAGGTTTTACGGGTTCCACCAGCAGGTTGTGGCAGTTCAGTTGGGGGGTATGAGAGCAATTGCTCAGCGTACAGTTATCCATTGACTGAACGCCGAGCAATTGAATCTCCCTCGCTTTTAAGGAGGGAGCCGGCGGCCGTGGGCGGAGCGTGACGTCACTCCGTGACATCTGAGCTGAAGGAGGGCCCGGGATCTGCGGCCCAGACGCTGCAGCTGGGAATGTCCGTGACATGTTCATTTATTTCTTCTCAGTCGCCATAGCCATGACAAGACCCCTTTTGTGCTCGTCAAATAATTAGATGTGCTGGACTCTCACTCGCTAAAAACAGCTGTCTATGGAATTATCCATACCCTGCAGGCTGGATTAGAGCAATTCAAGAATCTTTCTCCAATCTTGTAAACACTGTACATAGGTAGAAAGCACCTCCTGTGAAGCCTTCCTTAATATCACACCAAGATTTATCAGCAGCAGCTGTCAAATAGCCATTGCAAAGCAGGCGTAAATAAAAATGCCTTTTGTGGAGACTTATTTATGTTTGTTGGTATTTTTCTTTCTGCTCTAAGATGTGCTTCTGAAGGGGAGTAGTAAAAATTGAAAACTCGATGGACTTGAGTCTTTTTTCAAACTGACTACGTAACTATGTAAATGCCACAATAGCACCATTAATTTCTTCTCCTTTGATTTGGGTATTCCGAACTGCATTGCAGCGGATGCACACTTGCTCTATGTTGCAACCATGTTTGTAAACAGAGAGCAATGATATCTATGCACAAGATGCATGTAAATCACAAACAGTGCCTTTTGCATATAAGGCCGAGCACTCAAGGGTTTGCTAGCTTCAGGGCAACAAGGTGGATAGTCACAGTTTACTGATAAAGTAAAATGTGAGATGTCTCCAGGGCCTAAGAGATGTCATGTTGAATAATGCTAGTGATAACACAGCATAGATGAGTGGCTCTGTCATGTCTTACAACGGAAAGATAAAATATTTTATATGACAGAAGGAGACATCCCCTTATCTCCTATAAATTACACAAATGTTCTTATTATTACAGAGAAAGTGTCTAAAATTCATCAATGCACAGTGGAGCGATGTCTGATAACTCAGTTCCTTTGGGGTCTATATAACTATTTGAAAACTCTTTCTCTTTCAAAAAAAATAATTTCAAACTGTATATTTGACTAATTTAGTATGTATTTGCCTAGTATAGGCCAACTGACTTCCATTTTGTAAAGTATCACTTCCTGCAGCTTTTTTTCATGAACACTAAGCCCTCAAGGGCATGTACTGATTCACATGCCAGTTTGCATTTATGCACCTAATATTTCCCATGCTAATAATCCTGTCTATGCCTCTCTATTAACCTTGTTGTAATATGTCAGTGATCTAACTAAAACACTGGCAGTAATAAAGCTGAAGAAACAAAGTTGTTCCCAGTCGAAGAGTGGGATGGCAAGGAGTAGAATGAGTGTGTCTGGTGTGCAACAGTCAATCATATTTATACACAACCTCCCAGTTAAAGAATTCTCAGTACTGATACCTCCAGTACATCAACCTGGACAGCTCAATTTAGCATCAAACCTTGAGTGATTTAAAGTAACAGGAATGTAAATGTAATTAAAAAAAACATAAGGTTAAACTTTGCCCTCAAAGCACTTGTGGAAAATTTATATCTCAGTTTAACTGTGTATCATTTATACAAGGATTGCTACATTAAAAGAGAACTATGGGGTAATCGTTTCATTCCATAGTTCTCTTTAGGGTCACGGGAGGATATATACTGACCTTTTCCCACGACCCAAAGCTCAGGATATAGCGGGCTATTGCCCGCTATATACTGAGAGAACCGCAGCCGAGACAGATCCCAACAATACTGTCGAGATCCAGCCAGCTGGCTGATTGACAGTGGGCTCTGCCTATCTAGAGGCAGATCCAGCTGTGCCCGCCCCTCCCCCGTCCGTTCCTGCACTAAGCACTGGAGGATCGGAGAGGGGGGAATCCCTGCGGGGAGCAGTGACTGACAGTCACTGCTCTCTGCAGGGAGATGATTGGGAAATGAACGTGCAATGATATGTGTTATCTCACTTCCCGATCTATAGAGTCGATGTGTGACAGTTTAAATGTCACACGTCGGCTCTAACTATGAGGATGAGTGTAAATCACTCACCTCATAGTTCTCCTTTAAATAATAATTCTATGCTACAACATTATGTATGTTTTTAATACTTAAGGCCGTAGAGTAAATTCACTGGTGCTAAATTATCAATTTTATTCTGGGTGGAGGTGATTTGCACTGATCTAGTGCTGGAAAGTTTGCTCACTACTCATGCAGCTACTGCTATATGCTCTGATTTAGAGGAGTGTCTCTGTACCCTTGTGGCCACTGTGGTACCTACTGCTTATGCCTACATTCCTATTGGGTCCTGCAGTGACTAGAAGGGCAGCAGGAAGAACCACAGGGGCCAGTGAGGGGATCCACTATTTTGCCAACCTGAGAAGTCAAATTGGATTGGTATTAGAAGCTGTCCTATAAGGTGAAATGTTAGCAAATGGGACGACAGACAGGTATGTAAAAAGTAAAGCAACTTTCTTCTAACATTAGTGCCTTTGTAGCTTTGCTGACCCCCAGATAGAGACACTTTAAGTTTCTATTCTACACATAAGCAAAACCTGTTAATATTTTATTGATATGCTGTATTGACACATGAGTTTTTGACATTGCAGCAGTGTGAGCATTACCTATAAAGGTGGTGGCACATTGGCTGCCTGGTTTAAGGACTGGTGCCTGAGCTTTTTTAGGCCAAACACTTTTGCACCAAGTGCAAAGAATATTCAGTTGTGGGTGACAAGGTACAAAAACTGCCTCAGCTGCTGCTAGAAAACTGTCGGCAGCATTTCTGACTACAAATAAAGTTCCTGACAACAGCAGACAAATTAGAAATATCACAAATGCTGAAAAAACATGCATGGAAATCAATTAGCAGTTTAAAACTTTACTAACAATGTACTCCACAAATTACCTAAGCAGCAGAGTTTTGCATTGAAAACAGCCCTCATACTTCCGGTTCCGGCGCCCACCTCATCGGCTGCACATGTAACGTGCTCCGGCTACTCGGGACCACCACAAGCCTATAAAATCTATTTGCTGCTCCCCGACACCACCGATCAGGCTTCTCTATCGCACAGCACTGATCAGGGCATCGGATGGATAAATTTGTAGCCCGAACCGGCGATCGCTCTCGCTCGGATCACCGGAGGTGTGAGAAAGGCGCCAACGGGCCTTCCCAGGCCTCTACGTCACCCTCCTCTATGGCTGGATCGGGATCGGAGGAGGAAAACGCCGCGAACCCTTCCACCATCGCAGCGGCAGTGGCTAAACTCCTCAGGCCTACCATACAAGAGGCAGTGGATAGTGCCGTTTCCAAGGGAATCCAGGCACTGCGCCATGAGATAATCGCCCAATCACAGCGCCTCACAGAAGCGGAATCCCGCATCACGCTGTTGGAAGACGAGCTGGCTAAAGCCCACACGAACATACAGGAGACGGTAAAAACCCAAAGATACCTACTGGAGAAAGTCGATGACCTCGAGAACCGGTCCAGGCGTAACAACCTGCGCATAGTGGGCATTCCGGAAAGTTATCCCCCTGCCGCATTGATGGAACTGTGTACCCGTACTATTCCCTCCATTCTGGGCATCTCCACTGCGTGCGCAGTGGAAAGAGCACATCGCCTCGGTACACAAAAAAAAAAAAAAAAAAAAAAAAAAAAAAAAAAAAAAAAAAAAAAAAAAAAAAAAAAAAAAAAAAAAAAAAAAAAAAAAAAAAAAAAAAAAAAAAAAAAAAAAAAAAAAAAAAAAAAAAAAAAAAAAAAAAAAAAAAAAAAAAAAAAAAAAAAAAAAAAAAAAAAAAAAAAAAAAAAAAAAAAAAAAAAAAAAAAAAAAAAAAAAAAAAAAAAAAAAAAAAAAAGAGAACAAATACGTGTATTGTACTGTATTCTTACGGTCACATGGTGACCTTGTTTAAACCTAAATAAAATATTTTGGAAAAAAAAGAAAACAGCCCTCATGCCATCACCTGAACACTTGTCACTCACATATAGTCTGTCTCAGTTGTACATTCCTTATCTTACTCTTCTCGTCAGTAAGATCTGATATACTCTGTTATACAAGACATTCTTTTCTGCAAATGTTGCAGACACTGCTATTTAATGAAGACATCAGCTTCACTTCCAGTCAATCAGACCAGTGGGCTGATGTATGAAACACAGAACAGGAAGTCTGGGGAAACAAATACAATTATTTTTTCCCCCCAGTTCTTATGTATCAGATACACAATGCTGAAACCATTATAATTTCAAGTATTAAGAAAAAATTAAGGAATTAAATACAAAAGTATTACATTTCAACACATAAAACCCATACCTTAATAAATGTTACAAATTCATCCATCCTCCTATTGCCATGTAACAACTTATTCTGTACCACCTCCAAGGCTTGTTCACTCTGCATTGCTAAGTTGTGAAGTTGTTGTTTAGCGGTAATTTCCAGTTCTGACATGGCACGTTCAGCTTCAACCAGTTTTCCTTCCAAGTCGCTGACTTTTACATTCTGTAACATACAAGCCTATTTATGCCCCGTTTTTTTCTTTAAAAAGGCACTTTGGTCCTATTTCAATACTGACTTTAGCAAATCTTATGTTTATGCATTTGAAAATATTTTTCTATCTTTAATAACTCAACAGAATGCTTTTAGTGTGTCCTAAAAGTGATTTGATAAAAGTTTAATGAAGAACAGGGATCGAGATACAAAAAGTAAGCACCTCTGTGTAAAATAATCCTTAGTTCACGTAAATAACACTTTTATGAGTTTATGGCTGAATTGAATCATCTAAAGTAAAGGGTTATTTTGCAAGCTCCAAGCTATGTGTGGAGGGGGGAAAATGGAATATACAGTGGGCAAATAAACTACTGTAACCCCTTCTCCTTTTTTTAAAAAAATACAACTTTCAGATTTGGTTTAGGATGTGACAAAAAAAAAAAGTGTCACATAATTTTTTTTTCCGAGTACAATGAGCATTCCTTTTGTGTAAGGTACAAGTGTTCCTTCATCAACAAAATGAAAGGAATGTTATTTCGTCTATTTTGTTCCTTTATGTTCCATGTACTTAGCTAATCTTTCATTTCTAGTCCTTCTTTGCCATCTGTCCTCTCTCAAAGCATATACAGCAAGCCATACACATTTACCAAGTGCCTGCCGACACAGTAACTTAGAGATGCAGTCTCTCACATAGTCAACTTGATGACCTCAGCAAGCAGCAAGTAAAGAATGTTTCCTTTGCTGCCCCTTAGGATGGGGCCAACATATGCAAGGTCATCACCTAACCTCATTGTATAACTGGTCATCTTGAGCAAAGATAGAAAAACATATTAGGGAAATCGCATACCTTCTTCTCTAGTTCATCCTTTATTTTGTAGTACATTTGCTCATAATGTGACTTCTCCTTGGTGACTACATTTAATCTCTGTTTTAATGAATCCATTGACGTCTTCTTGTGAGAACATTCTTCTGTCATTGCTTTAACCTGGGAAAAAGCAAACTAAAAATAAGTGCTACGTAACAGATATGTTGTACCCATTATTTAGAATAAACACACTGCTGCAAATATTCCATCACCACATGTGACATGTTACAGTGCAAGGAGGATTCGGTGGCATCTAAGGTTCTCATCCATACAAGGTGATAGGCTCTCACATTCATGTCTCACAAGCAGGAAACTGGATTTGCAGTTTCCTCTGGGGATTTACAATGATCTTAAAAATCCAAGTATTTAAATGTATATTTGTCATAAAACATATGTGGGTTGACATTGGGACCTCCATCTGAAAAAGCTAATTGCCTGGATGTCTCTGACTTCAATGCTTTTGAATAACAGACCTACAATAAACAGGCAGCAAAAGAGAGTACGTATCTCTATACTTGTTCCAGTAATATTTTGTAAAATCTGTGGGTAGATCTCAAACACACACTGCATACAACCTTAAAATAGGAAAAGTGAGCAATTATTCCTAAAGCAAAAATAGTAGCAATGTTTGCTGGCTACAGAAAATGTTTGAGGGCTGTTAGTTCTACCAAAGAGGGAGTTTGCAAGTACACACTGATGGGGTGTACAAACACAGCTATAAGAATGAATGAGGCAGCGGCGGCAGTAATTGCAAGGCCCAGTCAATACTTGTTTTTTTGTTTGTACAAAAGCTGTGCAGCGGCGGGCAGGGCTGAACAGTGAAGCTCTCTGGAGAGGTGATGAAGGTATTTTGCTATGTGGATCACACGAAGGGAAAGGTTGGAAGCAGTCAAGGATGACATCACTAAAAATGACAATGTCCTTATCGTAAAACTATGTCTGCAGCCAAAGTAATTAAACAAATTGTGTTGTAACTTCCCTTACTTTGCACTGTCTCTAATGTAGTATGAGGAGGAATACAATGGGGGTAGTTTCCCACTTTTCAAGGTACATAAAGCCACCATCCCTCTTTCTACCCAACCAGGAAGGCTTTGCCCCCTGTCCAATCAGAATCACAAGCACCAGTGTTGGCATTAACAGAAGCCAGGGGGGACAGTGGCTTTTGTGATTTGGGAAGTAGAAGTTGAGAATGAATGAGGAAATGCAACAAAAGAAACACTTAAACTTCAGTAAAGTTTGATACTCTCCTCCTGGCTGGATGTAATCAGTATAGCAGGAGAGTATACTCTCTAGCAGAGCTGGCCATTCTTCTGTATTGACATAGCTCCCAACCATGTGTCTAAACATGACTGCAGAGACTAGGCATCAGTGTTAGACCCAATGCTCTTACTAATCAGCAGTCAGTAACAATACTGAAAGCAAGCCTGCAAAGTAGACTGGGTCATCCAGTGTAACAATTCTAAACTTGTGAGGTTACAGTTAGAATTCTGGACATGCTTTATTGCAGAAGTCATTACTATAATATGAAGTGCTACAGGAATATGAGCAAGTGTAATAACCAATAATGGCAACTGGGATGGGCAGCTCAAACCAGTATATGTGAACCAAGAATCCATTTGGTATGATGCAATGTGTGCTAGAAGTATTAGAGTATACATTAGTATACAGAGGATCAACTGAGAATATTCATTATGTAATGAGAAGTAGTGAAAGCTATTGGCCACAAGCTGAACATACGAAAGGAAACCACTAATGAGTAGCATAGGAGACAGTTTAGACAGGAAAAACTACTGACAGGAGTTCTCTTTTAACCATTTAACTATATGCATAAACAAAATACATTGCTTTCATTTTTGCAAATATCATATGTGTGCATTATTATTTGTGTGCGCTACCTATACTGTTGAACAACTTACTGTATGCCAGGAAATGCAGCTTTCTTTTGTTATCTTTAACATGATCGTGCATAGAACAACAGTTTTCTGAACCTTATTATGTGTTATTTTGCTATCAAGAAAATGCCTGTCATGGGAAGATGTTAGCTGACCTCTGGGGTATTATTAAGCTGCACGTGCATTGCACTGTACTACATTCCAAGGTGATTTAGTGAATAATAGGCTTGGGGAATAAGTATACAGAGTACATTACCTTCCTTTCAAGATTTTCTAACATTTCTTTGCTGGGTCTTTCGTTTTCCTGGTAGATTTTCAGACGGGTTTTCAGATCCTCTATGAAATGCCTTTTCATGTTGACATCCCTTTCCATCCGAGCCACCCTAGAGAGCAAAGGTCCATGTTACTACTATTCAATTCAGATTTATACTACTCTCAAAGAAGCAGGTACTATGAGCTTTTCTATGCATTCAAAATGCGGCCAAACAGGGACATCATCCTGCATCGCACTGGAATAGTGCGTGCTTCTTATCACCAGCTTACAAATAATTACTTATCATCAATAGCCTTGTGTGAATGAGTATCAAAATATGTTATTTCCAATCATTTGTGAGTATTATAATGTATATTAGTACACAAGGAAAAACAATAACAGAATGCAGAATTGATTATCTACCTTTTTTTTTCATTTTGAGATTTCAAAATAAAATTTTTCCCTAGTAAGATATGTTAAATCAACTCTGTAGCAGCATATCTAGTTCCAAAAGCTATACATAAATGCATAAATGGGATACATAACTGAAATGAATACATTTTACTTATACATCAAGCCCAACCCTGAACTAACACATTCAGTTTTCATTGCCCTAACTCCTTTTTTCCTGTTACAGCATTGGTGCACTGTGTCTAAACATGACTTGGCAGACAATAGGCATCAGTGTTAGACCCAATGCTCTGAGTAATCAGTAACAATACTGATCTGACACCCCTCCTTCCCTTCTCAATACTTTGTGAGGATACTTGTGATTAGGGTTCTGGTTGTTACTCGGCTATACCAGCACAGAGCAACAGAGAGAAGAGCAGAAAGCAGCATTTCCAATGAGAAGAAAAAACAAAGGTAAAATCTGCCCAAGCAAAAATCAGTCACAAATCATTACATGTGGGAGTACAGAACTCTAAATAGATTTAAAAAAAAGTTTGTGCAATGGGAGTGCATGGGTGGGAGAGGATGGAAATAGGTGGATTCATGGGAGGAAAGGGTCTCAGCGTGTGTGATGGCAGAGAGGTGATGTTTTCTGTCCAAAAAGCAGAATAAATGGTTGCACAGGTGATTAAAATATGTTATCTTTGTCCCTGTTGCAGACTTCACTTCCTGTCTAGTAAAATCATTGTCACTGGGACAGAAACTAGGAAAAAAATCTAAAAGAGCTGCACATAGCAGTAAATACCTAAAGGAGGTTCTAATCCTACCTCATTGTACTGAAAACATGGCTGGACATACACTTTAATAAAGCTTTCACATATGTTAAAGAAACCTTTTGTGTCTTGTTCCTTATTTATGGATGTATTAATCCACTCAAACCTGAGTATGTATTAATTTACAAACATAAAGATTTAGTTATTCCACAACAGGCTCAAGATTTCTTCAGTTTTGCAATATTGGTTAATGCTGGTTACTCTATGACAAGAATAAGCAAAAGTGTTTAAAAGAAGACTTGGAAGTAGAAAAAAGTGCTGGATCTGTGTGATTATTCTGTTGGTGTTTATCATCCAATAGTGATTATGTGATGGGTATATGTGTAATCTGGCTAATGGATAGGCAGCTATCACTGGCCTAAGGGTTTGGTCTTGCACAGGGCAGCATCATAGGCCTTTAACTTAATACTCTGCTCTTCTATATACTCATATCTCTCATTTAGAAACATAGCTTATTGTAATGTATTAACACAATGGGCACAACACTCTATAATTGGTGGTTTTAGGGGAATAGGAAGTCTAGTACAGCACATCTGATTGTGACAGACGTCAGGCCACCACCGCAGAGCTACACAGAATATGTAGCTTCAGATTATTCTGCATTGCTGTATAATGTTTTGCTAGGATTTGTAGTTCTCTATAGCTGGTGGTATTCTGCATTGCTATATAATGTACTGCTGGGATTTGTAGAACCAATACAGATTGGAGTCAGTGGTGGAACTACCATGGTCACAGCGGATGCAGCTGCAACCTGGCCCTAGCGCTCCACCACTGTCCTAAAATCATTAGTCTGTATTCTTTAGAAAAACTGTCACATAACACTAAAAAAGTAATTGGTAACAGTGAGTACTTCAGGAAAAGTATCCATACTCGTACTCGGTTTTGAAAAAATGGTATTGTGCATTAATCACAACTTACTGTTGAAACCCTTCAAGTTTAGGTATTATTGGGTGCATTCATAAAATCAGTGTTCTGTGCGCTAAATATTTGCCACAATTTTAGTAATTTATCTGGGCCTATAATTCTTCATATTTCAATGTATATATTACTTTTCTATTTACGCTGCTGTCAGCTGCACTGTTCATGAGTGGCAGATAAACACAGCATATCTTAAATAGGAATTCTGCGTCATATAAATGAGGCTCATTTTGGCTGTCCTGGGGACTGCTTCCTTTTGGACAGGAAGTGAAAAAGCTTAGCTCTATAAAAAAAATAAAAAAATAGAATGTCTGTTAGGATTGGATTTATAAGATTTCCTGTGTGGGAAACAGGAACTGGGGGCAAAGGAATGTTCTGTGGCCCCAGGTGCCAATAAAAACTTGACAAAGGTTCTAACCTTTTACCACACTTTTCAAAATATGTGTAAAACCTGCCTTTGGCGCTTAGTGGAAAACTGTGCTACACTTTTATTTTCTCTCTGAACATTAATTAAAGGGCATTGCAAAGAGACACACTTCCTGTCAGTAGGCACCCAGTCACCCATAAGACCTGCTGACTGCCTTAGTCAATCACAGCAGATGTGTCCTATGTGGTACACACAACTTCTGGACTGCAAACACTTAAAACAGCATCTTGTTTTATCTAGATGACAAATAGTTAATTGCAGGAGCCACCCTCCCTCTGCACAGGGAAGAGCCACATTCCTCCCCAACTGTAAGTTGTTATGTTGCAGACTTCCACTTATAGAAGTGCACTAAGGAGTATGGAAAGCTCAGAGCTGTACATATTAACTTACATTATGTTTTGTAAATGTCAATCACTGTTGCTCCAACTGAACTGGCTCCACCTGACTCTTCCTACCACCCAGTACACCATAGGACAAAATAATGATGGATGAGAAAGTAACCCCATTTTGTTTCCAGTTTTAAGGCAAAAATAGACAAATGTTGAAAGAAGAGCATAACGCTGTGTGTGTGTGTGTGTCGCTTATAAAAGTACAGACTGCTGCATACTGGAGTTTAGCTTTAAAGAATGCATAAAGAGTCGCACAGCAGAAAATGTAAAAAAAAAAGAGTGAATCTGGGCTTAAACCCTTTCGCTGCCACCAAATAGGCCCCTGGTGTCTTCTTAAATACCGGGGTTTTAAACCCCCTTCCTGGCCAGGCCATTTTTTAGTATTTAGCACTGAGGTACTTTGAATGAAATTTATTCAGTTATACAACGCTGTACTGAAATTAATTTTATACCATTTTTTTGGGACAGACTGAGCTTTCTTTTGGTGGTATTTAATCACCACTGGGGGTTTTATTTTTTACCATATTAAGGAAAAATTACCAAAAATTTGAAAAAAAAAAACTTTCCCCTACATTATGTTGTGAAATATTTATTACTAACCAATTTATTTTTTAAATATAAAAGATGGGGTCTTGTCGGGTAAAGAGACACCAAACATGACAGGCCTTAAAGTTGTGAAACCGCTACAAACGACAATACCCAAAATTGCCTATAGGCAGCAATTTAAAAGCTTTTACCACTCATCAGTTTAGTGTCATCAGTGATCAACCACCCAAGAATTATTGCTCGCACTCGTGGTGATATGTAACATGCGCAGCACAATTGTCGTTTTCGCGCATTTGTGCATCCCGATGTGTATTAACGTTTGCATGTGCATAATCATGGGGTTCTTTTCTTTTTTTTTATATGCGACTCATTTTTTTTTTTACACTTATTTAATCTTATTGCTATCACATAGGGGGCTAACGATCCCCTATGTGATAGCACAGGCACACGTATCGGTCCTCTTTATGGAGAAATTAGGGGTTTCTAAGATCCATAATGTCATCTGCGACCCCCAAAGAAGCTGATGAAGCAGAAATCTGCTTCACTGCTTCTTCTCTGGCTATAGCAGCCAGAGAAATGACAGGTGAATGCGCAAGTGATGTAATACACACCACTTACGCATTCAGAGATCGGAGCGGAGTTCAGCAGATAGGAGAGTGCTGATCTCCCTCCAGTCTTAATGCAGAGAGCTGCCGAGCCGGTCCCGGGCCCACGGAGGGGCAGCGGAACCCTGGATAGCCGATAACGGTGGTGGAGGTGAGGGCGGCACTGAAAGAGGGGGGCACATACTGTCGGCCACCATACAAGCCGTCAACTGGGCTATAGAGCAGCCCGAACACTTGCTACTAAACAGCCGTTACAACTGTCAGTATGTTCTGCTAGATGTGGTAAAGCTGTATATTTACCACATCCTGCTGTAGGGAGCTTGCCATCCGTCCATTTAAAGCAAGCAGTTATAGAAAACATGTTACTGCTCGTCACCCCACCTGTCCGCCCCCATGAATGCAAACATGTGTTGGGTGCTCTTGTGTAGGAAAATGAGTGCACCACAGGTTACATATCACCCTCCCATGCTAGAGTGAGAGCAAAAATTCTAGGGCCATCATTCATGATTAACTCTAATATGATACCTGTAAAGGCTTTGAAAGCATTACTACACTGTGATTGCACTCGCAATTTTGAAGCTTTGCAGTTTGACATGATTGATATTGATTTACTCGGTGCCAACTAATCTTTTATATTTTGGCAAAAATAGAACATTATATTGTGTTTACTAAAATACATTATAATATATATTTGGAATTTGGGTTTGGTAAACAGTTGCGCTAATATCATTCAACATAACAAAATTGCAACTATAAAGGAGTTGGAGATTGTTTTAATACTAGCATTGTCAATTATTCATCAATGAACCAGCAATTTGGGGGTTACATGAACTTGTTGATCTGCGTGCAAGCAGTTTTTTATGCCTGAAACTTAAGAATTGCAGATTATTGCACCTGCTAAATATGGACATTAATATGGGACAATCTGATGGTGTGTCTGGGAGAAGGTCCCTGCATTTGATAGATGAAGACTGTTTTCTATATAAATAATTCACATGCCCTTTAGGGCCTGTTCACACGAC